ATATACTCCTCGATGCTTGATGTCACCTTGAACTCTTTATTCCACTACTGACTTTTTACCTACGCGTGGAAATCATCACACGCTAAGTATATACTTAGTGAGGCAATTAAAACAATAAACAATGCAATACAATTCATGCATTTCAATGTCAAAATCAAAATACCATGAAATCATGTTATCAATATATCCAATATTTTACTATGATCAAAATACTATAAAATTTCATATCAATATACATACCATTTAATCCATAAGCTCGTAAGCTTATTTTACCAATATACTTACTATTAAATCCCTAAGCTCATAAACTTATTTTACCAATATACTTATTATAATTTCATAATCTCGTAAGCTTATTTTACCAATATACTTACTATAATTTCATAAGCTCGTAAGCTTATTTTACCAATATACTTACTATAATTTCATAAGTTCGTAAGCTTATTTTACCAATATACTTACTATAATTTCATAAGCTCGTAAGCTTATTTTACCAATATACTTACTATAATTTGCATCAGTGATGTCATTAACCTCATTTATTAATCGTTATTGGAATCCATACATTCCATAGGAAATTTATACAATTCGTATAATTTTCTTATAATATTAGCACTCTCAATGCTCTATCTGGAATATCATATACTTAATATGATTTCCTTCTCATTTTAGCACACAAAGTACCCTATTCAAGAATCCATACCATTAGTATGATTTCTTTACCATTTTTAGCACATGAAGTGCCCTATTCGAGAATCCATATCATTAGTATGATCCCTTTACCATTTTTAGCACATGAAGTGCCCTATATGAAAATATATATTGTTAGTACGATTTCCTTATCCTTGTAGCACCCTTAGTGCTTTTTCTGGAAATCCATACACTTAGTATGATTCCCTTACCATTTTAGCACATATAATGCCCTATTTGGAAATCCAACTATTCAATATGATTTCCTTATCATTTTAGCACACTCAGTGCTCCATATGGAAATCCATACAATCAGTATGATTTCCTTATCATTTTAGCACATATAGTGCTCAATATGGAAATCCATACACTCAGTATGATTTCCTTATCATTTTAGCACATATAGTGCTCCATATGGAAATCCATACACTCAGTATGATTTCCTTATCATTTTAGCACACTCAGTGCTCCATATGGAAATTCATACATTCAGTATGATTTCCTTATCATTTTAGCACATATAGTGTCATTTGGTAATCACTATACATACATTAATAAATCATGCTATTTTAACTATTACCACATGTACGTGTATAATTAGATGCACTCACCTAGTTCACCTTGCTTATATATCCTGGTTAGCAAAATGATTACTCTGAGACTTGGCCCTTGCCTTTCGCCTTACTCAACTCGGGAGCTTGATTTCGATCTATCTCCCATTCATTGAGTACATGTATATTACCAATTGTTAGTGTATTTACTAACCATTATAACTTCAACATTAATAAAAATATTTATTATTAATCTTTCTACAACATTTCCTTCCTAACTTAACAATTCTAGCCCTTATGCATCGATGCACTTAATAGTGTATCGATGCACTTATTGTATTCGATATTTTTCAATTGAAGGGTGTATTAATGCACCACCTGTGTATCGATGCACTTTGCCCAGAAATCTCATTTTAAGCACGAAATTTCACTCCTTTCAACTTCAATACTCCATGTTTCTTCCCCTTTCATGTTCTTAAGTCACATATACATGCTTAAACTCATTAATACTCATTTATCCCATCTTTAACTTCAAAATCCACTTCTCTACATAGAACTCAATATTAATACTCAAATTTTAACATATTCTAATCATCATACATGCTTGAATATGCATATACTACCTCACAAATATCAAGATTCATCATCAATTACATGATATCTTATATGAACATAAACTATAGAATTTGGGGTCTTTGAACACTAGCAAGATTATCAAGCAATATTGGTACCAAATGATAGCGTTTTTCGCATACAACAATTTTCTATTTACATCATACTCAAAATCCTAAGGAAATTGCTTGAAAATTGAGTTGAAGCTTTCTCTCACCTTTGAAGAAAACCCACACATCTTTGGAGAAGAAGAGAGCAAATTTAGATGAAATGTTGGGTGCATTTCATCTTTGTTTAAACTATATTCCACTATAAATGAATATAATATTCATTTAATTAGGATAATACCAAATCACCCTTAATGAATCTTCTTATTCACCATAAAACCATGACAACTCATCCTTATCATATTTCAAAGTTAAAGATGAATTAATTTGACTTTAATTTCTGAAATTTCCCTTGAACTTTTCAAAAATTGTATTTTAGTCACTAAATTCAAATGTTTCGGTTAAATCTGAAAAATTGCACATTTCCAAACAAATTTTCTCTGATCTAAAATATTAAAATAATCTTTCCAACCATTCTATATCATCCTTCAAATTTTTATAAAATTTCAATTCGATCTGAATTGTCGATTCCTTACCGACTTCTACCCTTTCTAATTTTTCTTTACTAAAATTCCAAATCCAAAATATGATTTCTATAAAACCCCCACTCTCAAGAGAAAATTATCTATTTATGGGATAAAATTCTTTTTGGGAAAATGACCACTTAATTCCTTAAACTTTTCCCAATTTTATACTTTAACAATCAAACTTTCAAAATTTGCATTTTTGTCATTATCTAAATTTTTGGGGTATTACATATATATAAGATAAACATATACGATATATTTTACAATAAAATTTAAAAATATTGTGGACCAAAAACTAAAAAATGTACGTGTTGAAAAATTATTTTAGGATTTGGGTTATTTGTTATAGTATACAAGAAACTTGTTATACTCACACAATGAGTTTCATAAAATATATTAAAAAAATAAAATTCATCATGTGGATTAAAAGAAATTATATAAAACTCGTCAAATCACGTCACAAGTTTCAATTATTTATTTATTTTATGAACTAGTCATTTTCACACAAGAATTTCAAATACATCGAAGTAAATTGTCAAAATATCAAATCAATTTTTCAACACCTATAATTTTTCAATTTTTTCTCATATGGATTATTTAGCCATCCAAATCTGATATTTTAATTCTACTAATATTTTAATTTTTAGTTTTTATATAATTAAAAATATTTATATATTTTTAATAAATTTAATAATATATATTATTTTTTGGGTGAAGTGTACAAATAGCCCCTTGATTATATGACATTGTTTTGTTGAGTATTTTAACTATTAAAATTACAAATGATCCTTGATTATAGGGCACTACTTTGTTGAGTTCCTCAACCATTAAAAGTTACAAGATGATCACTTGACTATTCATATATTTCAAATTCATCATTTTTTGTTAAAAAAAATTAGCAGCCATCAGAGCTAGATGTTAACTTGTTAGCTGGATATGATAAAATATGGTTCCAAAACTATATGAGTTGTATTTTATGGATTGACTCTTCATTTACATTATGTCGTCAAGCTAGTGCTTGAAATATTATATTATCGAGTTAGTGCTTAAAAGTAATAACGGTGCTAGTAGACATCATTAAAATATGATTTTAACATATATCGGTCAGCAAGTTAACGTCCAACTCATACGATCATCAATTTTTTAACAAAAAGGATAAGTTTAAAATATATGAATAGTTGAGTGTCTATTTTGTAAATTTTAATAATTGATGGACTCAATAAAGAAACATCTTATAGTCAAGAGATCATTGTATAACTTTAAATAGTAAAAGGATTCAACAAAATAACACCTTATAGTTGAGGGATTATTTTATAACTTTTAATAGTTATAATACTTAACAAAATAATATCCTATAATCGAAAGATTCTTTGTTTACTTTATTTTATTTATTTAGTATATCATTATTATTTTATAATTATTTTCTTAAAACATAAAAGTATTTATGTACAAATCTCTAAAAACAGTGCAATGAACATGAGAAGGAAAAGATAAAAAAAAAGGGTGAGATAATGATGTTCATGCCCAACTTGAAGATGAAAAGGAGGGTAGATTTGGCCAAAAGCAAAAACAAAATGGAGGCTGGTGGGGATTCCATGCCCCGAATCCAACACCCTCAACAATCATTCATTTACCTTTTAACTCACTGTTAAAACCGATAGTCTCCAAGTCTTTCTCACTGGGTTGGAGTATCCTCGGCCACCCGATCGTACACCAGTTGTTTTCTGAATATTATATTGTATATTTTTATATACGTATGAAATAAATAAATGAAAATGAAAAAAGAGGAGCGAATAGTTTATGTTTGTGGAAAAAAATAGTAATGCAGAGAAGGAAGCTGGTGATGATGAGAGCGTCTCAATTCTCAAGTGGGTGTGTGGTACACACTCAGAAAGCAACCATTTTTAATTTATTTTTTAGCACTTGAAGGAAAAGAAATAATAAACCTCTGATTCCACTATCTGTCCATTATTAATCAAAGTATGATAACATCAGCAAGGCCAGATTATTCATTGTTTGTTGTTGGTGTTGTTCTTCATCGGTTGGCTTCAAAAAAGTTGACTTTACATCGAGAGAATTTCAAGGAGAATTTTGTTCATGGGTGACGTGGGGACGATGCCCTTCCACGGCAGAATCTTCGATTCTTCTCTCTCAATAAACCCAGAATCACACCACTCTTAGATTTTCTTTTTTCTTTTCCAACAGCTCTTATCTTGGGGAGTTTTAAACGGAGACAGCCTGTTTATGAGATCTTTCTTCTTCTCTTTGCTTGCTGCAGCTCCATCTTCAACTTTCAAAACGAAAATAAATAAATAAAAATAATTATATATATATATATATTTTTTTTGATGTTAGTATCCGTTTGAGATTTTGGGTATCTTAAAAAATCTCCACATACTACCAATACACAACATCGTGAGTTGCTGTCTTTTAGGCTGTTCCAAGTTTCTGGAAATTTCTTTGCTCTTATCATCCATTTTTTTCCAAAAGTTGGTATTCCTCCAAGTATTTTATCCGTCTCATATTTGGTCAATCTATTCATCAACAGGATTATCTGTTGAATTTGTTGTCTTTGTGCAATGGAGGATGCCATTTTCTCGCCGGTAGCCATGCTAGGCGGACCACCGGATTCGGCAATGGACTTCGACTACATGGATGAATTGTTGGTAGAAGGATGTTGGTTGGAGACAACTCCGGGATCTGATTTCGTAAACCAAAGTTCATCCTTTTCGAGTCATTTCTTTGATCCTTCATTTACATGGCGGACGTCGGATTCTAATGGAGGTGATTCAGGCGGCGGCCTCTCTCCAAGATCATTTTTGCCTGCAAATTCACATATGAATGTCGCTCGAGGTGAAAGTTTGGTAGTCCTCAGTTTAGCGATTGTATAACCGACGGTTCTGAGTCGAGCCGAAGATGGTGGATTGGACCCAGAACTCCGGCCACCTCTGTGATGCAGAGATTAACTCAAGCACTTGGTTATATTAAAGCTTCTGCTAAAGAAAACGATGTGCTTGTACAATTATGGTTGCCTGTAAATAGAGGAGGTAGACGCTTTTTGACTACCAGTGAGCAGCCCTTTTCGCTCGATCCCAACAGCCAAAAGCTTGCAAGTTACAGGAACATCTCTGTCAATTATCATTTTCCAGCGGAGGAGGATTCCAAGGACATGGCGGGATTGCCTGGTCGGGTGTTCTTGAGTCAGGTTCCCGAGTGGACTCCCGATGTTCGATTCGTTAAAAGCGATGAATATCCGAGAGTTGACTATGCTCAACGACATGATGTTCGTGGAACATTCGCCCTTCCGGTTTTCGAACAAGGAAGTGGGACCTGCTTGGGTGTTATCGAAGTCGTGATGACGACCGAGAAGATCAAGATTCGACCCGAGCTCGAAAGTGTTTGCAAAGCATTAGAGGTCTTTTTCTTACCTTTTCTTCATTCATAATTGTCGTAGAATGTTACGAAATAAAGTCCTGATTCCTGAAAGTGATCCTTGTCTGGTTTTCCTTTGCAAGCAGGCCGTCAACCTTCGGAGTTCGATAGCTTCCGGCACTCGAAACATGAAGGTAAGTCGTCGCAGTTACCGAATAAGTTCAATCGGTAAGTGTTCTAAACTTGTTCTTGTACATATCAGGCTTACAATAATTGCTACCAAGCTGCTTTACCCGAGATCAAAGAACTGTTAAGGTGTGCTTGTGAGACGCACAGATTACCCCTAGCTCAGGCTTGGGTTTCTTGCATCCAGCAAGGTAAAGAGGGTTGTCGGCATTCAAACGAGAACTATGCTCATTGCGTGTCTACGGTGGACGATGCTTGCTGTGTTGCCGATCTTAATATCCAGGCCTTTCACGAGGCTTGCTCCGAGCATCACTTGTTAAAAGGTCAGGGTATTGTGGGGAGAGCTTTCGTGACTAACCAGCCGTGCTTCTCGCCAGACATAACTTCTTTTAAGAAGACCGAATATCCTCTGGCTCACCATGCGATGATTTTTAAGTTGCACGCTGCTGTCGCGATACGTTTCAGATGCATTCGCACCGGTAAAGCAGACTTTGTCTTGGAGTTCTTCTTACCTGCACACTGCAGAGATCCGGAGGGACAGAGGAAGATGCTTAATTCACTATCCATCATTATACAGCAAGTATGTTGCACCTTACGGGTCGTAACGGATAAGGAGCTGGAGGAAGAAACCGATTTCACAGTTAGTGAACTCGTAACCCCTTCGGATGGCATTCCGATTAGAGACGAGTTATCGAAAGAGCAGTACACTCATGGTTCACATAAGTTTCCTCAAGAAAGTTCCTCTTGCCACACTAAGGTCCAGCAGAGTTGTGACACTGCCTCAGTACTCGAAAAAGAAAAGCCAAGGGCGCCGTTGGATGAAAAATCATCCGATGTGAAGCCTCATCAAGAACATATTAGCCTACGAGAAAGTATCGAATACGGGGATTCCACGTTTAATGAGATAAGCTTTTCGAGTGTGGCTATGGGAAAAACAGGAGAGAAGAGGCGTAGCAAGACAGAAAAAGCAATTACTCTGCAAGTTCTCCGTCAATATTTTGCTGGAAGCCTAAAAGATGCAGCAAAAAGCCTTGGTGGTAAGTGTCCTAGCTTTATAGCACGGTATACTAATGGAGATAAATGTACATTGGTCTCTGATTTTTCCTTATGATTTGACTACTTGTCCTGTTTTCCTTCAATCTTTAGTGTGTCCAACAACCTTGAAAAGAATCTGCAGGCAGCACGGAATCAAACGCTGGCCGTCTCGAAAAATCAAGAAAGTTGGACACTCCTTACAGAAACTCCAGCACGTCATCGACTCGGTACAAGGTGCATCTGGTGCTTTTCATATTAGTAACTTCTATGCAAATTTTCCTGAGTTGGCATCTCCAAAATTGGTAGGAAATGGTGCATTATCGACCTCGCTGCCGAATGATAAGCCAAAGCAAATAAACATACAGCCTGAGGGTGGTAATTTCGTGTCCCAAGCTGCTACTTCGAATTCGCCTTCCTCCTCGTGTAGTCAGAGTTCATGTTCAAGCCAATGCTTTTCAAGTGGAACACATCGGCCTTCGAAATTCAACATGCCTGCTAATGAAGAGCTCGTAATCGGAGATAGTTTCGGGAATGTTGAGCTGAAAAGGGTGAAAACTGATGTCGAGTTGCATGCTTTAAATCAAGAAGAATCAAAGCTGTTCCTAAGATCCCAGAACCTTATCTCTCTTAAGGAACAGGTTAACCATGACGATCTTCAAACCGTATCGAAGACTGCAGCCAGCCAGATTGCTCGAGATTTAGAAGCTCGAAGGGTGAGGGTCACATATGGAGACGAGAAGATCCGGTTCCGCATGCAGAGCGAATGGCGGTTTAAAGATTTATTGCATGAAATTACGAGACGGTTCAATATAGATGATATAACTAGGTTCGATATAAAGTACATGGATGATGACTCCGAGTGGGTGTTATTAACATGTGATGAAGATTTGGAGGAGTGCATTGAAGTGTGTGGATCATCGCGGGCAACACAATTAAACTCTCGTTGCAAGCTTCTCATCATCATTTGGACCAGTTTTCAGGCACTGGTCCTTGATGAAACTGTCTCATCGGTATCGGTACCATTATTTTGACGTTTCCGAATGGCAGTGACCTTAATGCTCCTTGGGGACAGTAACGCTTTGGGACGAGCTGCACTGTTGGAGGAGTTGATTAGAAGGAGGAAATGATTTGTGACAACATTTGGGGAAGAAGTGAAGTTGATACACTATCATCCTAAATACCATGAAAGCCACTTTAACGCAAACGATCTGTTACGATTGTGGTAGCTCATATAGCTGCTGAGTGCTGACAGTTTGGAATCTCTCCGTGCTCTTTTGCTTTCCTTCTCAGAATGAGATTTGCTGTATATTTTAGTCATGATCAGAGCAGCAAAAGGTGCCATGTCAAAAAGAATACTAGTAATGGTAATAAAGAGGATATTTTCTAACAATTTTTATTCTGTTTTGATACCCTAGTAAAATATGAATGGATATATTGGCATTAATACGATTCTTGCTGTTTGTTGTATTTATCATTGCAAAACCAAGTATAAGAGTTACATCAGAACGTTATCTTCTTTATCTTGGCATAAGAGAAATACGAAGTAAATGGGGAAGAAAAAAAAAAGATTACGCAGGATGGGAGCAGATAAGGGTACACTCGAATCCGGAGAGAGACATCCATTCATCTTCTAAAATAAGAATATCAAAGGCTGCAACAACTATCGCTCTCTACCAAGTAATTTAATTCTTTAGACTAAATGAAACAGCTACCTTAGTATATTGAAAACAGCGGCAGCCAATATGGTTTTCCTATTAATTTGTTCCTCCTTTCTCTAAACAAAGCTTTACATGTTGGGATGGGACGGGGGCAACTATTTTTTCTTAATTTTTTCCCTTGCTTTCAAGCCTTTGCTCTGGTTATACATTAAGTTTCTATATCAGACAGAAATTGAATTGTAAACTCTCTACAAAAGGAGTTGTGAAAGGTTATCGCACTAAGGCAGAGATGAAACCGAAGGCCGTTCGTCTTGCTTCTCAACCTGTACACATCTCGATGGTGGACCAAGCATGCTCAACACCACCTGAATACAGAACCATTTGGTTAATGCTTTTGCTTTGCAAACTGAACTTCATTTACTTCCCATAAATAAAACGAAAAAAAGGACTTACCGGAAAAAACACAAGCCCATGTAAGAAACCTAGAAGGACCAATGCTAGGTACATCTGGAAATAATAGACCTACCCAGGAGCAGAGGGTAAAGGATTAAAAATTACAGTAAAATGAATGGTCCCATAATTAAGAATTCAATGAAGGAATTGGTACCACGAAAGCTTCCGTCTTCGAGAAGCAAAGAACCAGCACCCCTACTAGCTTTGTCAACGTGATTCCACTGCAATAATTACATCAAAATAATGACAGTTAAGCAATAATAGGTTGCTCAAATATGGAGTTTATTTCTTCATTTATCACACTCCGGACAGAAAAGATGGAACGAAGTGGAGGTGGATGGTTACTTATAAGAGAAGGAAACGAACCTGAAGACAGAAGCTCCCATTGTACCGAGAGCTTCCTTTACCCTTTCATTTCTATTCCCGCTACTTACCTGCATGAACAACTTGTAATTTTATTCGCACAACAAATCGGGGAGATGAACCAAGAGTAAACGGAAAGCTGAACTATACTAACCGAAAATGCATGTGTTATATGCACGCAGAACTCAACAGCAATGCCAACTGACATAACAAGATTAACAACAGAGACCGCATTGAGTTGAATTCCGAGAATGGCCATCACACCCTGAAGAGTTTAACTTCGTAAGAGGGTATAAAAGGTGCAAGTAGGAAGCCAAAGTAAAACCAGTTCAACCAAAGGAAGTATTATGGTGACGGCAGAGAATAGATTACCATAAGATCAATGAGAATCATTGCCAACGCCAGCATTATGATCGCTGAGGTCCACAAACTATATTTGGTGGGAAAATGCGAAGAAATCAATAAAGAAAAATAGTTGAATCCATCAGTTCTGTTCTGCTTTTACAAAACCAGACTGATAGACTTCACTCTAAATCAAGGGACAAAAGTAGGAAGCTAACCTGCATGTAATAACTAAACAAACAAAAAATACCGCACCTGAAAGCAATCAAACAGAAGAAAAGGCAATTGACTGTTAGAAATAACTACAAAACTACAAGCCATTGTAATAATGCTGCTAAATAGTCGAGTACAAATATAAAATTCAGTAACACACAAACGACACAGCAAAATCAAATAACATCAGCAGATATCTTTCGGTCTACTCTTAGGCTTTGGTAATTATTTTCGAATCATTAATGTGTACCAAAAATGCCTTAAAAATACATAATTTATGGGAAATTGTGTATTAACTTATGACACTTTTGGGTAGGTTTCCGCAAATTACTTACCAATCGCAATTGCAAGGTTGATGAGAGCCGTCTTCCATATATCAAGGTATTGCTCAAAGAACATATAAAACACAGAATATGGGAAGATTTCCATCTGCACCAGAACAGATCAGTTTACGAACAGATTGTATCACAAAACTAGCATGCGTATAAATTTGCAAATATATTCAAAACAAGAGCCTGCTTGCATGACAACCCCAACAAGTTCCCATGCAATGCTGGTGTAGGAGAATTAATGAGGACCATAAAGTCGTATGATAAGGAATTAAGGACTAACAATTGTACCATGCAAAATTAGAGGTAGATAAGGGTACCCAATTACGTAGGAAAAAAAAAACCATGTTTTCTACTGAAGCACAAACAAATGAACTAAATGTTTTAAGACAAGCAATTACAATTGATATCTTACCTTTAAAGAATCAGAAACTCGTGCAGCAAATTGTCGAGCAGCCCTCATTGAGTTAACATAATCAATCTAAAACAATTGAAAGCCAATTACCATAAACCAAGCTTTTGAAAACCTAATTACAGCATGATATAAGGTAAATGATAATGAACTTATTGATATCTTCTTAGCAATGACAACTACTACGCATAGCTAAGTTCGAACACGGAAAATTGAGACATCTGGTTATTTCACTCAAAAACGGAGGCACCATTACCATAAAAATGCTTAGCTGTAAAGCTATTAAACCTACACCCTTGAGATTAGATACAAAATTTTAGAATTTCCTTTAACCTATTATAGCAGTATATTGTTTTAAAGAAACGTGTAATTTGAGGTTCAAGTGAATTTCTTTTCACAAACAAAATGCAAATGAGGCATCAGATGCAGTCCGTCCAAGCTATTTGAATACATATTTTGGTATACCTTATTGGAAAATGAAGAACCTCCGGCATTCATAGGAGCTGCATTAAATCCAACAATAAGTACCAAGAAAAATAGGATCATAACCTGATCGTCAGGGGGACAATAACTCCCATTAGTAAATTTCCGACAGCAACCAAATGCTTCCGGAGATAACCATACGAGAAAATCATCAAGCCAAGAAGCAGCTGGCTTAGCAATATAGCTTGATTCTGGTGTCAAGGATGCTCTAGCTATCTACAGAGGCAACAACATACTGCTGTCACATGGAATGAAATACGGAAACAACACAAGGCAAAGGTTTGTTGATAAGCAATCTTAAAACATAAACATGCTTCAAACTAAATAGAAGAGAGTGGTTTCCTAAAGATAAATCTAATACCATGAATGAACACTCAAGAGATAGAATCTACCAAACAAATTTACCTCATTTAAAAGAGAGTCTGAGTTACATTGGCTGATAGAGCACAACTTATTCGTATCTATTGATTCTGAACTGAGAATAGAACAACATCAGCACAAAAAGCATATTTATCCCAAAAAAAACAATTAGATGAAAATTTGAATAACTCCATCTTTTTTCTTCACATACTTCTCGGAAAGCAAGCACTTCTTAAATGATAAGTATAACACATTTTGTTTATGGAAAATGCATAGAAGAATTTTCACATGGAGTTCTAATAGAATCGGCCTAAAATGTCAGTTTTCCACCATTAGTTGTTTCTTTTTCATATCAGGGGAAAGCAACTTGCATCATGTTTCTGTTCAGGTGTTTATTTATTCTGATATATCTGAGACAAGAAAAATATAAGCTTTCAGAAGAGCCAATACTAAGGTTTCATTCGTGGCATTGAAAAGTTTTTATATGCAATGTTCATCATGCTCATAGGAGATGAAACAAGAATGAAAAATGATCAATATGTCTCTTCATGCTTGGACCAGGTAAAATTCCTTTAAAGCACACAGAAGCTGATACCATGTAGTAAACTGAAGACAAAGAAACTATAAATCACATGGAAATACCTATAATTATAGTTCTTCATGACAAAATAGAGCGGCGGTCCAATTCTGAGATACTCAGAAACATTATTGAAATAGCCGTGGAATAGAATGCAGCAATGTCTCAATGACAAAAATGGAAATTATTTGATTAATTTCTCCATTCAGGAAAATGGAAAGCAAAAATTGAACCCGAAGATATGAGTCTTGGGGAAGAACAATCTTTTGCTCCAAACCAGGCTCGATTCGGGTGGACAATGCCTGCCAAATTTACAAGCATAAGAAGTTTACTTCAAGTCATAGGCAAAAGGAATCGAATATATCAACTTGAAAAAGTTAAAGCTACTTACAATGCTAGCCAATGAAAAAGCAACAAACGCAGAAATGACTATAATTTTCACTCCCCAAAGACTGAGAATGGGAGCATGTACCTCATGAAAGTGAAAAGAGAAACAAACTAATGAGCAAAACAAATGAAGCTTGTTTCAAGACAAAGTATAATCACCTTATTACTTAAGTTCTAAAGTAGAAACAATTACCTTCATATATCGAGCCAATAGCCCGGGTTTTCTCCCACCAGTACCACTGCCTAAAGTTTCATTAAAAATAATCTCTAGTAAGACTTCATGACAGCTTCACAATGAATGAGAGAGGGTTCAAAGTATTAAATAACTATGAAACTAGTTCTATTCTAGTGTGAATCATACAACTCCAACTATACCTTTCTCAGATTCAGCATATGCCGATGCTGCTTTTATACATGGAAAACAATCAACCCTTCTTCCCTCAGCTCGTAAAAAGTCGAAAACTATCAGAGAAACAAAAGCAGTGACCTGCACGAGGAAGTCCAACAAAACGGCAAGTGCTGCAATAGAAAGCATGGATGTGAGGGGAATGACATAACTGACATAAAAGGAAAGAAAAAATCTTTTTCAGTTTATATCACTATGAAATGGACAAATATATAGACCTGCAAACATGGAGAACACTCGGCACGCTGGCATAGGAATGAAACTTCCAACTGCAAACACAAAAACCTCAGATAGACTAGCAAGGGTTATGGATGGCCCAACTTCCACGAGTGCATTGCTTATCCTTCCTTCTAGAGGTAAGTCCAAAGGCTGTCGCTTAACAGCATGCACCAGTATGCACATGTTGTCCACCCCAACCTGTTACAAGATAGAGCTAGAAGGCAAGCCACAACGGAACTAAGCAATGGAGAGATGAAACTTGACAAACAAAATGCTTGACTTAATTGTAATATACATCCTCCAGGTCAAACAAATGATAGTTGCAAACTTAGCAACAATATCATATGAATTTGAAATATGGAGGGCACTTACTGCAAGAACAAGAAAGGAAATAACTTCCATTATGATTAGGGTAGATTTTACTCCAATAGCACTGAAAAATTCTACTGATCCAAGAACTGAGAGCATGACAAGCACAACGCCAGAAAGGCCAAGCAATACCTGGAATTCAGTCAATCATACAGTACACATCATAGAAGATAAGTAACAGAAAATGTTTCAGACATTCATCCAACCCTAACAGGTAACTTTTCTGATCTTGTTAACCTAACTCTGGCAGTCCAAGAATTGAGGAGACATTTATTTATTGCTACATTCAAGCATAACCTTAAGTCATCCAATAAAACATCGGTTGCAAATTTTCAAAACCAAGAGAAGCTCATTTATTAGATATAGATCCCTGAAAGCATGAATAGCCACACTTTGTTTAGGTACAAAGGTCATTTAAAATAAGTTTTTCGAATTAGAAAAAGCATATGAAAGGGGTCTAGGAAAAGTCATTCAAATGGTTGGATTTCTAGTAATATAACCAATCTGTGTCATTTGCTTGGTCCGTTCTTTCTGAGATATATCAAAATGTTAATCCACTAGATAAAAAGTCCCCATTGTTGCTAAAAACAATTATAGTTAAGGATGACCTTCAGAAGCTGTTGAAAGTGCATTTATATTAACTTTGTTAGGTTAAATATGCCAAGGTTTCAATTCTGGCGCACTTGATCAGATAAATTTCAGTACAAAAGCTACAGAACCCCTCAACAGAAAAGCTTAAACTACTAGGAGAGGATCCAAGAAAACACACCCAAAAAGAGAACAGAAGGTAGAGGAAGAATACTTCAAAACACAGAATATTACTTTCAGGAAAGAACCGTGAATAAGATACCTTAGATGAAATGTAAAAAGAAGTTAATCGAGGTGTATCACCCAAGGTCAGAGATATGTATGCAAACATCACGAGATAGCTTATCTGCAATGAAATTAGGCGGCAGACAGAAGAAAGCAGTCTCAGAAAATTACAATAAAAAAATCACATTTACAAGATTAATGATTTTTTATGGCATGCCTCTTAAAACTTCCATAAGTTACAAAGGTTAGATTTCCATATCTAGAACTCAAGTATCATGTTCTCAAGCCATAAAAAAGAAAAACTCCTACCAATATGGTTATGACATCTGCAGTGCTTTCTCTTTTCAACTCATCCTCGATGGAGCTTTCCAAGGAAAACGAAAATGTCAAATTTTTAGATTGAACCATAGGCAACAACTCATCCTGTTCCATAACATGGCATCACATGTGAAAATCACTTATCCGAGAATTGCCAAGACAAGGCAATTGGAAGACAATAAACAATTATTGATATGATGCAAGTACAAGTTCCACACCTTTGCTAACCAAACAAAGGCCTTTTCCCAAGCCACTGCCTTTTGAGTTTCATTCCCTTCTTTGTCAACAGCATTGTTTACCGGATAAGTTACTATAAATGTGGAAGCCTGTATTATAAAGATCATTTTAGGTTACAGCACCCAATTAAATATGTTAAAGATCATACATTCAATGATCTGACTGCATTGGCAGATCATAAACGTTAAATTAATACCTCGGTATAGTTGCTCCCAGAGAAACCTCCTAATACAGTGCTAGGATCTACTGGTGCTTTAAAAGCACTCATACATGATTCTGCAGAGGTATAATGCTGAAAGAATACATAACATGAAAACATTAAAGGCCAACCCAGGTGTCAAAAAGATAGTGAAAGAGAGGAGTGTGAGAGAAAACAAGAAAAGAACCTATAATTTAAAGTTATTGTCAAGATCTATAACTTGAACATGCCTTAGAATAGAGGCTGGTCAATAAGTAGAAATGTGAGGAAGGCAATTACCTTCAAACAAAATAAACATGGAGGTATTAGGCTATACCTGAAAACAATAGTTCACGTGTTCCACTCGATCATCAGCATCATAACTTGGATCCATTTTGAAATACTACCAAGAGAAACATAGTAAAATAAAAACACCAAAAAAGAGGGATTAGAAAGGAAAACTTGTAAGGTGCTCTAGAAATTCAATAATGAGTCACTGGTGAAATATAAAATACAGCAGAACTGACAGACAATTATTTATTTCAGAGATAAGTCAAAAGTGTAGCAAGAGTGTCACAACACATACAGATGGTGGAAAAGCAGAGAACAAGGATAAGAATAATGGATTATCATAACTAACAAACTATTATTAAGATATTACATCAAAAAAATTCAATACTAAAATATGCTTATAGAAAAGCAACTAAATTGTCCATATGAAGAAATATAAAGAAATCGCTTTTCTGCTGAGATTGAACAGTTTATGATGATAAACAATTCACAGTTCCACTTCCACACATTTACATTTCAATTGAAAATTTATGATTCTATATGCTTCACTCATATGAAGACACAAGACATGCATTCTACCTGTATAACACTTTGTGTAGCACAATCCTGCCCCATCGGCTTCATGCAAATATCTGTCAAAGATATCATTGAGCCAGAATAATTTCCCCGGATTCCATCAATCTGTTAAGTAAATTTAAAGTGTTTAAGTAAGGCTTTCCTAAGAGAATGTAAATGTACAAACGACTACAAATCCAATTACACTATGTGATAATCCAACCTGATAAATTAAAGTAAAACGTATACCTTCTTTTGTATTTCAAATAACAACTTAATGTTTTCCTCAGTCACAATGCTGGGTGATTTACCATATAAGGGATCTGGAATTGTAGCTAATATTATCTGAATAACATAGGTAACATTAGTTATTCCAAATTAATACGGTAAGACACGTGAACTATAAAAACAGAAAACAATGCTCAATCCATAAACAGATTTAAACTAATGGTTCTCATACAATATCGCATTAGAAAAGTCGACAAAGGAATATGAGAAAATATTGCGACGAGGAAGAGAATTTATGTAATCAAAATTGATTTAAATAGATAGGAGAAGAAGAGAGGAAAAGATTATAAAATATGAAATGAAGACTATTAAATATGGAAACTATATCGCACATTGCTCAATCCAACAAAGAGCAATTTAAACTGATGGTTCTTATATAAATATATCATTAGAGAACAATAAATAGGAAAATGAGAGGAAAAGATTAGAAGGCATTATATAAATAGGAAAAGATTAGAACCCTCACGGATATACATCCCGAAAAATAATTAGCAGGAATATTTTACTCCAAAAAAAAGGATGAAGAAATATAATAATTTGAAATTTGCTAAGGTATGACATATAACAAGAAAAATGTACGTTGCAGATATTGAACTCAGAATCATTCTATAATATTCACCCTCTTACCAGAAACCAACAATAGGGGAGCCAGATGAAGTGGCAAAGAAGAGGGGAAATAGAATAAAATAGGGGAAAACCTGCTCAATTCTGTAAAAAGGAGCTAGGTTGCTGTCAAAAAAACGCTTCTCTTCTGCAGCTTTACTTCCAGGTCCTACCCATAGCTGACATTGTATTGGTAACAGATATTCAGATATAGAAAATGTATTGAAAGAAGCATGTAACCAGAAGTATATCAAAGTCAATTCTCTGATCTCAAAATGCTTGACATGAACTGACTTTACACATTCATTCAAAACAACATAGAAGATGCTAGTATCCCTGGAGCCAAGTTCTATAGATAAGCTGGAGATTCGAAGAATGCATCTAAACATTATGAAGCAGATCATTTAACTTACATCTCAAGTAAGTAAACAGAAGCCCGGGATGATTGTCGGTGGATCACCATGAATATTTAATGTTTATAATATTTGAAATTACTAAGCATAGTAAACCTTGAGGATGGATTCTATACCAAAGTAATCATAATTGCTAGCCTCTTTGTATGGAAACAGAAATGATTGATCACAGGTAGTTATCAATAGTCCATAATTATTAGAATGAAGCACGTCTGTAGAGAGGTTCAATTTATATAAAGATACATCTAGCTCTTCAGCAATCAAGTACTACCTTCTCTGGTCGTGTTTCCACCTTGAAACGGACCAGGCCCAAGCAAAGTAGAAGAACCATTCCCACTGCAAACTCAATACAAGGGTTGGATGTCTAGCAACCCATAGTCCATATTTCCTGAAAATAAGTTGGTTAGAACAAAATCAGAGACTTGACCATTGCTCAAGTGATATAAAGCCTTATACACATAGAAAGTTAACCTGTAAAAGTTTGACATGTATCCTTGCACAGCAGAAAGTCGAACTGCAGTGATACTTAGATTAGCATCTTCTAGCCTCTGAAACCAAACAGGAAGCACAAACAAAAGCACGTGACAATCATTTAGTAGGAAAAGCATAACCACACTTGTATGAAGAAGAAGAAGTACAAAATAGAAAGGTTGTCAAATAAGAATTACAATTTCGTAAAGTTTTAAGCCACATATAAAAGCCATAAACTAAACCAAAATATCAAGTGTGAAATAGAATGAGATTGAAGAAAACCAGCACAAAGTAAGGGGTAAAAAAGAGCACCTGCATGGGGAGGTTCTCAGCTTTTTGCCTATTAATAGAATGAGATTCACTATCAGCTGTATCCAAAAATGGTTTCATTCGAAAAGACCGTCTTCTTTTTCTTGTCCGGTTAAACAAGCCCCATCCGAAAATCATAGAAACCAATACAACATATAGGATTGCAAAAGCTAAATCGACGCATTTGGCCTGCATATTTTGAACATTTATGCAATTGTAGCTCGAATTAGAAAACCAACTCTACTTTCATATGAATTTGGGAATTCTCATTTGTTAAAATTGATTTAAATAAAAAAAGTACAAAAAAAACTCTCACCTTAAGAGATCCAATTCGAACAGAACATTTAGCCCCATTAATGGAAGTAGATATAGCTGTATTAGAACAGACAGGAGATGAAGGGCAATCACCACAAGAACAGCCCAGTGAAACATCTCTACATGGATAAGTGGATACATTCATAGGTTTCATCCCAGATGATTCTGGGACAGATAGCAGGAATTGAATGGCATATGGTGAACCTGGCATGTTATTTGGTGCTCGCCTACCAATAAAAGCAAACCACTCTGCCAGAACCAATCATGCGGATAATGTGATTGAGACACAATGCACAAGTCTTAAAATACAAACTTATAACTAGCAACTCACCTTTAAAGTTTTTAGCACCAGCACCAATAAATTCCATAGCACGAGAATTCATGGTACCAAACTTGACATCCTTGCAAGATTCATACAATCCTTCACCAAAATCATCAGTTACGTAGAAGTCAATTCCATCCACAGACAAGTTACTTTTGACCTGCAAAGAAAGAGATATATCAAGTAATCTATCATCTTCGATATAAAAATTTGTGTCCCCTAAAGAAGTGCACGACCATCTGTTTAAATAAGCATATATAATATGAATGTTAGTGGTTAATTCAGATTTTCACCCATAAAATGATGTTTGAAAAGGAAAATATGATCAAAGATATCATTCACAAGTTCATATTGATCAATAACATTGTGAAGTTTTTAGAAGGTAGACACAACTCCACAATCAAATGACAAGATATTCAATTGTCGTAGAACATGATCATAGAGGGTTAGTCAGGATTCCGGACCTGGGATACAGAAGTCACATTGATGAACAAACTTTGATTTGGAGAGCATGAGAGCTCACAGAACAGATTCAAAAAGTTTCTCAAGCATGCCGGACAGCCTACTAGGAAAGGAATTGCCTGCAATAATGTACAATAGAAATAAATCATGTTATAGAAAGATTAATTTTAGGACCATGCAACCGACTACCTCCAGTTGAACCAATCTGGTATAAAAGCTATGATGTTTGAATGAAATTCATCTCTTAAAGTAGTTATAGAGCTTCCAGGTAAGAAACAAACATTATACTTCCGATAAAACTGGAAATGTACGGGCAGGAATAAATGGAATTATAAGTAGAAAAGTTCCTCGTGCCAAATAACAATCTAATAACATCAAAAGCCACACAAGCAAAGTTTCACGCTTTCAAATAATGCAAGTCAGCATACCAACAACAGAAAAGTTGAATTGAACAATAATTCTTACTTGCTGGACTTGACTCCGTAGTGTATCAAATTGAGCTTCCGTACAACAAACATTTCCAGGGATTGTTGGGCACAAACTTTGAATCTTTGATGAAAGTAACTCATCAGGCTGAGAAGCAAAATAAGATATAAACGTCAAATAATTAGTTATATTTTGTAATCGAGTGTTTCCAAAGTTATTTGGAATAAAAATAATATAAAAAAGGAATCTATGCAAATTGGCTTTTGTAATATAGTTCATATCATACTTGACTGTGAGGACCTGATATAATCACTATTAACCAATATTAGTACAAAATTTATGTGAGACAGTTATATGTAACTTACCTTTACTGCTGGAGAACCGGAAGCACAGTTCACTACTTTTCCATCACTTCGCACTCCACAAATGTCATACATTGCACAATATCCTTCAGCATGTCTCTGCCTAGACATAACAAAGGTGAAAACAATTAATAATAATTTACCAATTAAAATTTTCAATCAAGCTGAAGTAAATTAGCATTTGTCATAATTAGTTATTGTATAGATTTTCAGAAAGCGCAAATTGAACCAGTAATTGTTTTGTTGGGGATATTATTTACAGAAGGGGGAAAAGGCACTGGAAACTTGCATGCCCCATTCGCGTCGAAATGACAACTCAGAACAATAAATTTAAGCTGCATTGGAATTTATTGTTTTTTGTATTTTTAGTAAAGTTAGTTTATAGATAAACACAAACGTCTTACCTTAGTTCACCATTTGTCGTCTGTGCAACGACCACTTGTATAATTAATATAACCTGCACACCAAAAACAAATGCAGATTCAGTTGAAATTAACAAGGGCAGTTCAATTGCAATCTCCATTTTCCTTTTTAAGTAAAAACTTCTGCTAAAATGAAATGCCAAAATAAAAAAATGGATCTGCGCATGACTTCTTTGTCTAGGAATTAAAAACGATTTTGTATTTTTCCACTTTTTATGAAAGATTGACCAAAACAAATCACTTTTAAGATTCAGTTTCCGATAGAAACAGAGGAGACAAAATATAACTTGAGTTCTACATTTCAAGCCTCGGATTCATTTTTTTGAAAATTAAGAGAAAGAAGAACTTGATCGAGTAAAGCATTTGACACGCTTTGACCAAAAATAAGAACAGAGTCATAAATTGTTGATCTCTCAGAGTTCAAGCGTCGAATAAAGATGAAAACGAGACGTATTTGTCCTTCAAAACAAAAAAAAAGATAAAAGAGTAACGCCTAGAGAAGCCAGAATTAAACATAAATGTAAGCAAAAAAAGCGTAAAATTCGAACAGTGGAAACAGATGATGAAAACGGCGGAAACGCTTACCTGAAAGGCTGAAACAAGGAAAGGAATAAAATAAATCCAAAAGGAAGTACTGTTTTTCGGCGAGAGGAGTCCATTTTGTTCTACTGCAGAAAGACTTTTGCTGAGCTTTGCTGGTTTGACGGAGAGAGAAATGTATAATAAAAAGAGAAAGAGCTGAGGCGTTTGGCCGAGTTATTGCTAAAGGGGAGGAGTATACAAGGAGAAACGGTATTTATAGTTACTTTCGAGCCAAATATACACCTACCAGGTTTACGCTTTACAAGAGGAATTTCATTTAGATTCTCCACCAACAAAATAAAAAAGAAAACTAAAATTCCTGGCATGGTTATGAATTACGATCGAGGAGATGAATACGTTGTATTTACGATTATACCCTTGCTTTCGGTTGGCTTAGGGGATCTGTGGGGTTTAGATGGTAACTGATTGGGTTGAGTCGACGGTAAACTCGTTTTGAGAAGTGTATCTCATTTATTTGAATTCGATTTAATTTTATTTATAAAATAGATATATAATTGAAGAAAATTATAGAAATACAAGTATTATAATAATTATTTTTAAATATATATGAAAATTAGTAAGATTATATTATTATCATGATGAGTTAAGTTAGAGATTTTTCTACCTAAACACAATCCGGCCTCATCGTCTCAAACAGATAGCTTGATTATAACATGAATTATATATAATCTGATTTGATAAGATCGGATTAAAAGACATCACATTCTATCTATATTATCATATATAGATTTAGACTAGTTTTTATTTGTAAAAATGATTATTATCAATAAATCTTAATTAAAACCTTCGATTATTAATATAATTTGAATCAATTCTTTTATAATAATACTTTGATATTAAATAATTTATTTATAATAATATTTTAATTAGATAATTTATTTATTATCAAACTCGTGATTAAAGTATATTCCCCCCACTCCCCACCCACAAGCACACACTTCACAGTTGTGGCCTGTAGTAACTGGCTGACGCTGATTATGTGTGAAACTCAGACGATGTTACAGTGACAATCCAAAAAGAGTCCTGCTTTCAAAGCCTTTACATCTTCACAGTTTTGCGATACATTGGAATTGAAATGGAACTGGTGCATGGGTGGTTGTGTGAAAACGACCCAACCTTTAATGCATCACTTCAAATTTATGCAACGTAATATATTAACAAAAAAAATATTAATCAATACGTGACAGCGGTGGTAATTTTTTTTTAAAGATTATAAATATAAATTATTATGTTTATAAAGTTTGTATATATTATCAATTGATTAAAAAAGTTTTAAATAGATACTATATTGTAAACTTTAAATTATTCAAAAATAATAATAAAATATTTTATATTTAAAATTTGTAATTATAATTTATAGTATTTTTATTATCGAAAACGTACATGATTTGTTTCTTGATAATTCATAAATATATCTTAATTATTTAGTTGATAAAGATTTTGTTAGTTGTTTTTAGTTAGATCTACTTCCTAGGCGTGAGAAATGAATATGGTGCAATTAAATGTAGGTGGGAAACCTTGTAGATGAACAAAAATAAACGTGTTAATCTCATTATAAAGGGCAACAAATGATTTAGGTGGTTGGTATATAAATTTATTATAAATTTTATTATTAAAAGTTTTATCTGAATTTATTTTTGTTTTAAGTTTATTTTGATTATCACTTTAATTATATTTTATAATGATCGATTCTGTCTATAATTATTTAATTAAAATATAAATCAGTATTTGCTATATTTTATGATTTATTTTAAAATGATCACAAGTATTATATATTTTTATTTTTATTTTTTAAAATAATTTTTATTATTTTTAATATCGCTTGTGAAATTATTTTTTATTAAATGTGTATAAAATAATGTTTCATAAATATATAATTTTTAAAAAAGATCAATCGTGTCTTAATTCACATTAACCAATATCTTGTTACGATATCTTAAAATAATAAGAATAGCTCAAAAATCAAATCTAACAAAATATTAAAAAAAATTAAAAATAAACCTTCTAGAATGCAACATGTTTTGGAAACTTGCGAAGAATTGTCCAACCACTCTACTCCACTCACATATTTTGGCGAGCCATTATCCAAGTCTTTCACACGACATAACATATATATATATATTATCTATTTAATCTATTACTCAATTAATTTAAATTAAATTTACAAAAATTTACTACATAGGTGATTTTCTCAACCTAATTAATATATAATTACATTAAATTTATTTTATTAAATTGATGGATAAAGTACGTAAATAGTTCCTCAACTATAGGGTGATGTTTTGTTGAGTCCATCAACTATTAAAATTTACAAAATGGTCCTCCGAGTATAAGGTGTTGTTTTGTTGAGTCCCCGACTATTAAAAGTTACAAAATAATCACTCGACTATTTAATATGTTCCAAACTCGTCATTTTTTGTTAAAAAATTGGCAACAATTTGAGTTGGATGTTAACCTGTTGATTGAGATATGACATATTTTTTTAGATTATGAGATCAAATTTTATCATATCTTAGTCATCAAGTTAACATCCAGCTCAATCTGTTGTCAATTTTATAACGAAAAAGGACGAGTTTGAAACATATTAAATAGTCAGTTGATCATTTTGTAAATTTTAATAGTCGGGGGACTCAACAAAGCAACACCCTGTAGTCGAATGACTATTTTGTAACTTTTAATAGTCGATGGACTCGACAGAGCATCACCCTATAGTTAGAGGATCATTTGTATACTTTACGATAAATTGATATATAATTATATAAACTGATTGTTTTTTTAAACAATTTCTACTTATATGAGGGGAAAGAAAAGAAATTACACCTAGGAAGAAAGGAGGTGTCAAATGAGATTTTTTAACCACCTACTCTAAATATTAATATTTTTAGAATTAAATTGATATATAATTTGAATTTAATATTTCAATAATTAATAAGTTGTAACACGTCATTTAATAATATTTTAATCAAATTATATTAGATTAGATATTTAATTAATTATTAAAGTGACACATTAATATGAGTATCAATATGATTTTTTTCTAAATGTAAATATCATTTTAAAATAAAAATTTGTCTACTTCAATTATCAATTTATACAACAAAATTGCATCTTTACAGGTTGAGAAATTTTTAATCCCTTCATATTATCTTCAATCAATGTTAAGATTATCGATAAAAGGTCTATAAAATGAGTATTCTCAATAGCACAGTTGGTAGTCAACATCGTCAATTGATCAGTAATTATGTTTTTCTCGATAGGTATAGTGCACATGCACTTTTATTGACAAAATTTATACTACCAAACATAATATAGAAATATAATGTGATTATACTCTGTTAGTCAAACATTTTCAGAGAATACAGACGTGATATCCAAACACATGCACCCATAATATTAAAAGATTGGAAATACCAAAATTATATTAGAGGAATAAAAATAACAATATATTTTTTATTCTATATGTGTTTTATGATTTATGTTTTGAGATTTATGATTATTTTCTATTTTAATTTTAATTATCTTATTAAAATAATATATATATATATATATTAATCTAATAGTTATCCATAACATCCTATACAATAATTATCTAAAAGTAGTTTTCTATAAAATACAAGCGACAAAATTTGTTCGCGTCGTATAAAATTTATTAATTTTATATTTTTTTGGTACACATTAATTTTATATTGATTAGGATAATTAGATGAATAATTATAAATGGTTGAGATTAATAATAAGAAATAAAAATATATTCACTAGAAAAAATATGATAAATTACTCGTTTAATACATAAACTATTATTTTTATTCCGTTTTGATACCTAATTTTTTTTCAAAAACATATTTAAAGTTTAATTTAGATTTCAATTTGATACCCCACAATTAAAAGATTAACATAATTATTGACGTTTCATTTTTTATTTTTTCAATGATGACATGACATTATCTTATGATGACACATCAACATCACTATTAAGTTTTAAACGGTGAGTACCAAAATGAAATATAAACTAAACATTAAATATAATTTTGAAATAAATAAAGTTTAGAAATCAAAATAGAATAAAAATAATAGTTTAAGTACTAAATATATAATTTATCCAAAAAAATAAGAAAATAATCTTAATTATCTATTTTTATTTGTTTAACGATATTAAAAAATATATAAAACTAAAAAATTAAATTCATCCAAACTCAAAACTTATTTAATGTTAGATATCCGAGTGAGGTAATCGAAGAAACGAAGTGCAGGGGCGAAGAGCAACTTTAGGAACAAAGCTCCCATCCGTAGTGATGATTAGTATTCATCAAAGTAAATCATGACCCTCGGCGCCACGCCTCGATCATGCGAACTTTTACCCACACCACATGCCACATGGACACCGGGAGAGACGACGCTTCCAACTCAAACATAAAAGCAGATTCCTCACAAAATTAAAAAAGATTTAGACTGTCCTTTTCATACAGGGAAAGTCAAGAAAGGTGCAAACTGCCAGGTGGATTCGTGTACGAAATTCTTCTCTTTATTTTAGCCTTTTCCTAAGGCCTAACCAAATTTCCCATGCGGATCGCTAATTGCGTTGCGTATTTGGCTGTTGGTTGTTGCGCTGGCTATCCGGCGCCGTGACCATTGTGTGAGATACGCCCATATACGTATTTGCGTTTTGATTATACTATCATTTTTATTTAAATATTTAATATTTTATACTCAAAATAATACATAATGTTTACTTTTTTATTATTTTAGAATTAAAAATAATTAAAATGTATCATCTAATAATTTTTTGACACGTATTATTTATAGTTATTCAAAATAAAAATATGAATATTCATAAATTTCAAAATTTATTGATTTTTAAAAAAAGTAAATCCCTAAAATCATTTAACTCATTAATGATTTAAAGAATAATGTAAGTTCATTGATAATGACGAATCAATAAATGGTAGAACGAAATTCGAGAGTTTTGTACGATAGGGGATGAACGACAGAAGAGCGAGGTCCAACCACAGAAGGAATGTGCGACAGTGATTCAATTATAGCATATGAGATTTAGGGATATAAAAATCACGGATTTAGAGATTTTAAGATTGTTTATTTGAGAATTTAAAAGTTTTTTAATTAAATAAAATTATGAACCTAATTAGGTATAATATATTTATTTGATGATATATTTTTATAAAATATTAACAATTTGATTTTAAAATAAAAACAAAACAAAACAATTAATTGTCAAATTTAGTTTAGATGCATAAAATATATGAACCCATAATTTTTAATTAAACATATATATCATGCATGTAAAATTGGTCAGATAATGCTTTGAAAAAAATGATTTTCTCATATAATATGTTAATGTAATTATTTTCTCATATAGGGTGAATGTTATAGTGTTCAATACAAGACGGGCATAAGTTACAATGATTTTTTGAAGTTGTCTATAAAATATGACGTCTTCAATGTTTCTTGAAAATACAGTTTCAAAGGGCGTGCATGGAAATTGGAGAATATGTGTCCTCTAGACATCTTTCAAAATCGTTGTGCTTTCTAAACGTCTTTCATTGAGCACTATAACGTTTACCCTAAATAAGAAAGTAATCACCTAAACATTTTTTATAAAAATATATATATTTTTTTCATAACATCATCAATCAATTTTGCTATATTAGGCATCTAAATTATTGTCCCGGCCCAAGAAAGCTACAAGCCCCTAATTTAAACAATGCCCCATCCGCGACAAGGTCATGTTATAGATGAGGAGGAAGTAGGCTCTCAAAAGCTATAGGTGCAACCTATTTTGGCTTTCAACCTTAAATTAGGTTACCATACCACAAAACTATTATAAGTAGGAAAATTTAATTAACGATAATCTAATTTAAGGTTAAAAAACAATAGAAATAAGTATAACTGAAAATGTAATTAAAAACATAATATTTTAGGTTAGACGCAACCTAAAATATTATGTTTTTTTATCACAATTTCAATTACATTCTTTTTCTTCTATTTTTTAACCTTAAATTAAGTTATCGTATTGCATACTACCTAGTCTAGCCTTTTGTGTTACTTTGAATGTTGAATCATGCCTACAAAATGGACCCCTTGTCATCTTTGTCCTATGAAATAAGAATAACATATATATTTTAAGATTAGAAAGCCGCTGGAAGTTTAGCCGTGTGTTATGGATCAGTAAAGCGTGCCATATATTACATCAGTAAGGGTTCAAAGGTTAGGGCCTAGTTGCAAGCACACCTAATCATTGCTTGGTTTTTTAAACTTTACCTAAATAGGGATGACACAGGAGTGATACAGTTAGATCCGGACAAAAGATTTCATGATATGAATTTATAAAATTTTATAAAACGAAAAATATATTATTAATTAAAAATATAAAAAATCTAAAATATATATATTAATTTAAATTTTTAGAGACGACTGTTTCATCCTCCCCTTCTATCCATCCGTGATTGTGGTGGTTGTTAGACAGTTCAAATAGATTTTATGTATGTTACATCGGTTGAGTATAAAAAGTACTCATAAAATAATTTTATGCAAATGTTTTCATGTAATCATGTTCTTTGGCTCCTCATTTAGAAGTTTTAAAATAAAAACTCATTTGAAGAAGAAAACGTTTGTTTGAATAATAATGATTCATTTGACCTCATATTGTCTGTTAAAAGATGCTATTTGCTTCATGAAATACCATGACAGCTCCGAAAGCAAACTTATAATGATATGGGATTTTCATTTATTAATATAAATAAATAAATAAATAAATATATAATCATTAGCTACTCTAACAAAAATAAACATTGTGTTTCTTAAATAAATTTAAGTTTTCATGTTGTGAAAGTAAAAATTAAAATAAAAAAGTTATTTTTTATAAGAAATTTATATAATGGTTAATTTGAATTAATCGAATAATAAATTAAATATAGATGATTATATATATAGTATGTAGATAATAAAATAATCCTTGGTTTCTAGGGCAACTTCAGCCCTCATCTTCTAGGTGGGGAACTCCGTACTGTAAACACCGTTTTCAAGTTTTCCGGCAAAGGCGTGAAAGCTACAGATAAAAGAAAAGATGGGGAAATGTTGCATTAATATGGGAGTTCGTCTATATCCAAACATGTTTTATCCAATCCAAAGTTCAGTTCAAATCAGGATTTTCTATTCGATAGTCTCTCATTGGAATCCTATATAGTCCTAACAACATTAATATTGGTCACATGGATGATGTTGTTAAAGGAATGTCCATCTAGTCCTAATAAATTATTATTCAAAGGTCCAAGTGATTAAGAAGAATATTTTTTTTAGGTTACAGCAGTTACGTCCGTAAGAAGTATTAATTATCAATGACTAAAAACGATTATGAACAAATAATATATTGTAAATCACCTCATATTATTAAAAAACATATTTTTTTACTTACTATATTCATTAATTAAAACTCCATGCCTTTATCATTTTCTTCAATTCTCGAGTACAATTAAAGGTTAAACGTAGGTAATATATTGACGTTCATTTATTGGGAGAGACTTTTTATCGAAGCTCCATCGATCATTTAAAGTTATCTATCAAATCATTTAGTTATTTAAATAATATCAATTAAATCATTAAGAAGTAACCTTTAGTAGGGAAGGTGAGGTGATAATTAAAAATTTTGATATAATTACAATGTGATTCATACTATTATACATTTTATCAATTTAATTTTAATTTTAATTTAATTCAATAAATAGAATAATGTAATCAGATAGTGACACATCACCACCTAGTTAAATAAAAGTTTCTAAATTTTTTATTTAATTAATTCAATAAATTTTTCTTCAAATCAAGTGATGACACATATCATCATCTAATTAAATAAATAAATTAATTAAAATTAAGATTAAGTTGGTAGAATTTATAGACTTAATATATAGTTATATCAACATTTTAATTGTCACATCATTTAGCCCACTAAATAATAACAATTAATTTACTGATTAATATTAATTAAATAATTAAGTATTTAATTGCTATAATAAACTCACGTTTCCATGAGAGAAAAAACTTAAGATCCCAAAAATATCAAAGATGGGGGCACACCATAGTTTTACCAGAAACAAGGAGTTATTCCCCTTGGGGCTTGGGCTTTTAATGATTGGACACGACAGTACAATTCCCACAAGGATGAAAGAGAAATATCCAAAACCCCAATTACATCATCCATGTGACCAACATTAATGTTTCCCTGTTTGCTTCAGACTCCCAATGCCTAAACTCCAAACTCTGTGGGGTGCGTAAGAACACGACAAACACTTCTATAGCTCTTAATATCCGAAACCACATGTATATAATATCAATCTAATAATTTTTCCATTTACAAAAAACAGAGCTCATGTCCGTACACAGAAAATCTATTGTGCATTCAATGAGAGTTCAAAACAAAGCTGACAACCGTTGATGTTGCTTCCCACACCATGCAAATTAACTTAAAAGGTTCGACACTTCCTATTACCATATTTTTCACCAATGAAACGCCGAGCCCTTCCACGGATACACATATACACTCGCATATGTACTCACTCGACGGAGTCTATTTTGTTCCAGATCACACCCTTCTTCTATGCTCGAAGAGGTAACAAGCCTATATCGGTTTATATGAAAAGGAATACGAAAGTAAGTTTTGTTCGATTCTTGAAGAAGGGATCATTAATGAGTTGCAGCTTACTTGATCACAGTTTTCTTTATAGTTCTTATTGAATAACTTCAAACTGCAGTCGAACCCCTTCTGGAATTAGATCGACGAGGGATTCCTTTCTCTGTTTGTATCGGCGAGGACTGTGAGGCATTGCAGACCTCGGGATTCTGTGATTCTGGGCTCCAATTCTGACTCTGAGAAGCCAAGTATTCAAGTGCAACTACGATATCACTGATAAGTGGGCGAAAGTTGGCTTCTTCATTGAGACACATAGCAGTAATTGCAATTGCATAGTTCAAGCAACGGCGAGGATAACATCCCCGAATTACAGGATCGACCAGTAGGCTAAACTTCTTCTGGTCTTTTAAATACGGACGGGACTGCAACACGAAAAAGAATATATTAATGATTATAAAAACAAAGAAAAGAAGGAACACAACAATCAGCCAAGCAAAGCACAGGACGCAATGGTCAGCGTGAGAGAGAACATAAATAAATAAACAGAAGGCTAATTTACCCATGAAACCAAGTTCTGCTCTCCATGCTTCTTAGTTGTATCTATCGCCTTCCGCCCGGTTATCAACTCCAATAGCACCACACCGAAACAATATATGTCAGATTTAAGAGTTAATTTCCCACTCATGGCATACTCCGGAGCACAATACCCGTATGTTCCCATCACCCTAGTTGAAACATGAGTTTTGTCACCCACAGGTCCCAATTTTGCTAAGCCGAAGTCTGAGAGTTTAGGGTTGAAATCATTATCAAGTAAAATATTTGCAGACTTCAAGTCACGATAGATGACTGGTGGATTGGCCTTGCAATGTAGATATTCGATTCCTCGAGCAGCCCCTACTGCTATCTTTATACGATTATTCCAACTCAGAGGCTCTTGTCCTGGTTCTAAATCTGCGGAAACAAATTTGATCAAGGACATATGAGGAAACATAATAACAATCAGAAGAATGATTATTGCTTTCACATGCATCTACAACAGTCTTTTTGTATATCGAAACGGTCTGATTAAAACCTACATGAAATCATACAAATAAAGGTAGTTAAATGACCAAGCATCCAAGTGAGAGGGCAAGGTAAAATACATCCCATTTGGGCCGAATTTTTTGAAGATTTGCATTCTCAAGTGCTAGGCTTATTCAATAATGAATATGAACAATCCAAAGAAAACAAAAAGACACCATTCATCAGCTCACGGATGATGATCATGCAATGCAAAGCCATACAAAGCACAAAATCTAAGCATATTCTACCAGCTTTGGATGTTATGCACTCTTGCTTCAAGATGAATATCGAAATTAGTTGTCTTTAATTCATATAATAAGAGGAAAATTCATGGAACGAAAGGGTAAAATGCCTGAACAAATCACGGCAGCTTTACACGTAATGCCGATAAATTAAAGAAAAAATCAGCAAAACAAACAGCATTAGTTGATTCGAAATCGAATTTCTCCTCACATGGCTCCAAAAAAAAACAGGAAAATCCTCACATGAGAACTAGAGTTCTACATCATTAAAGTAGAACAGACACTAGCAAAAGTCCTACAAACAGTAGATAATGTTGAAATACAAGAATGCCATACTGGATCAAATTATGCAATTAATATAAATTACCGAAAAGATGATCTTCCAAACTGCCCATCGGCATGTACTCGTAAACCAAGAGCCTCTGATCCCCGGCCGTGCAATAGCCAATCAAGGTGACCAGATTAACATGGTGTAACAGGCTCAGCATAAGAACCTCAACAATGAATTCCTGATAGCCCTGAAGACCATCGTGATTAAGTTGTTTCACCGCAACAATCTGGTTGGATACGAAAACATAAAAGATCGAACTCACACTTCAAAAGATACACAATAAGTAACATAGACAATAGATTCTGGAAAAAATGACAAACAGATACATGTAATTGAAAAGAAAAGCAGCAACTTTACCTCCCCCTTTTCCAATCGACCTTTGAAAACCCTTCCGAATCCTCCTTCCCCAAGCAAATTGGTTTCTCTGAAATTCCTTGTTGCCGTTGTTAACTCCCGGAATGTGAAACTACGCGCCCCATTGCCTTTGGAGCCTTGTCCCTTATCACTTCCTTTCTTATGCTCTGTTACCAAAAATTTCCAACAAAAATAAACTAATAATCAAATCCACTGGGGAAAAAACAAAGTTTTACGAGAAATTTGATGTTAAGAAACCTTAACATTACCTTCTAAAATTGCCTTTCTTCTCGTAGCGCTGGAAACTGGATACAAAAACGAAGAACACGTTAACGGAAAAGAAAAATTATACGGAAAAGTAATGAGAAAAAGGGAACCTGAGGAATCAGCGGAATGGCGAGAGGTAGTTCGGCTTCCATTGTCAATGTCGATCCTTGAATCTTTAGAACGAGGATTAAAGCAAGGGAAGCAACTCATCTTCTTTCTGCTTATCTCCACAACCAGTGCAATTAAACAACGAAAAATTTGAACTTTGAACACTCACACACAAAGCTACTCACAGATTTCATTAACGAAAATCTCCCATCGGTTCTTTCTCTTAACCAAAAGGTCTTGAACCAAATCCACCTTTCTGCATGTAAAAGAAACGTTTTTTTGTTGGAAAAAAACCCAAAAGGGAGAACGAAGTCCAAACAAAAGACTCAACTTCAGCACAGCCTTATGCTTTTCGGATTCCAAACGGCAGAAGGCAACGCAATGAACTGGAAATCTGTGAAAGAAACGGACCGAACAGACACTAACCACGAAAATTCAACCAATAATTAAAAAGGAAAAGGAGCAGAAATATGGGAAATGACGAAAAATGATAAAAGAAGGAAAAAGAACAAAAATGGTAATAATGGAAGTGGATTGGAACAAGAAAATTACAACTATAAGAGAGCAAGAGAAGACTGGGGGAAGGGTAAAAGAGAGAGAAATAAATAAAAAATGAGAAGAACTTGGTGGAGTAATGTTTTGTAATAATGGTGCCAAAATTTAGTGTGTGAATGTGAGCGAGAAATCAAGGGCCAGATTTAGCGGCAAACAATAATGAGGTTGCCTTTTTGTTTACTACTTCTATGTATTTTATTATTTTTAATTTTATTTATTTATTTGAAAAGTAAAAAGGTCAAATCCTGTACAAAGTCTCTCTACAGTATCCTTTCTAACTAATTAAGTCTTTGTACTGTACACTCCCGCATGGTCAAGCTCATGGCGAATCGCTTAAGCTCTCGACTTAAAATAAAGGGATGAAATTAAAATAAGGGATATAATTTAAGAATAAAATTAAAATGTTTAAAGATATAGGGATCAATTTAAAACGAGAATTGTAATTTAAAAACAAAATTAAAGTATTTTTTAATTTTAAAATGATACTGAATTTTTATTGCAACAAAAGAAAATACAACCTTAATGAATATACTAATTAGAGAGTTTTAGGGATCATCAAAAAATTCAAACATAAGATAAAATAAAAAATAAAACAGAGAGACTCAATAGAGGTAGAAGTTTTCTTTTGAATATGATGTTTATCATCTATAGTATTTATTCGTCTCTATCAAACTAGACGCTTTAGAGATGATGAATGAGTGGTAAGTGAATCAAAAATAAACTTACATGTTGCTCCTTAAAATAAATCTAAATATAACGACAAACAACTACAAAAAGAAATCTAAGTACTAAAGAATAATTAACAATCACAAATTAAATACGAGCGAAGTGATAAACTATACACGAACATATATTTACCACAAATATAAGAAGAAATGTGTCACATGAGCAATAGTAAAACATATTAAAGAGCAATGTTAAGATATGCCAATAAGACATACAAACATGTATAAAATATACGAAAAGTAAAAAAACAATTTTTTATTAATAATTAGTAAAAATGAATAAGATAACAAATGAAAATGGGATATAAGAAAATAACGATGCTAATTATATTTAAAAACTTAATAATCAATTTAAAATACACGATATAGGTAAAATGAGAATGGGTTAGCGTTGGGTTGTTCCGTAAATTGGAAATGTTTAGGGTTTTTGAATATTGAAGGTGAAATTGAATGCAAGGATGCAGGAGGCATATGACGTGCATGATTGTTGCAGGTCACTCTCCATCTCCTCTTTCCGCATTTAAACCTTACTGCTCTCTCCCTCTCCCCTCGTCTCGACTAGTCTCCCGTCGCGTGGATGGTGGCCCCGCCGCAGCCTTGCCTGCCCGCTTTAATTCTCCGTTTTGCCCTCTATCTCCTCCCTTTTATTACGCCATTTTACACTGATCACAGTTGAATTTTTTTTATTGCCCGTGATGGAGATGGGACCGACCGTTGGATGGGTGATACGGTTTCTCGCAATAAGGAACGGTCCTGATTCTTTCCTTCAACTACCCTTGGATCCCGCTTCATGACCCCATCGTTTTTAATTAATAATATCCATTTTTAAGATATAATTATAAGTAATAAGTATTAAATTAAATTATAATCTGATTTAATTATTATAAGCACAACAACATGTTTAAATGATTTACATAAAATAAATGATAAATTACATATTTGGTCACCCGGCTATTATAGTAATTTTGTTTTGTTCATTCAATTATTTTTTAAAAATATACCTAAAGTTATATTTTGATCACTCGTCGTTAGAAAATTAATAATGATATTGATGTGTCATCATAGGATAATGATACATCGTTATTGAAAATATAAAAAATTATTATATCAGCAACTTTATTTATTTTTTTTAACAGTGTGTGACTAAATAAAACAAAAATATAACTTCATGTATAATTTTTAAAAAATAGTTGGGGATCAAAATAAAATAACGAGAATAATTGGGTGATCAAATATGTAATTCACCGTAAAATAAAAGTTAAATTAAAATATTAAAGGACTCACACGTAGGGGGTGTGCAAAAAGATACGATCTGATCGATTTAATTTGTTGATATAATCTGGAAATTCAAATATTCGGTCCATTTTTTGATTTTCGAATAATTCGGATTAGATATCCAAAAAAGTGTCAGATAATCAAATTAAATAAATTTTAATTTTGAATTATCTGAAAATCTGAAAAATGAACTTTTAAATTTTAGATAGCCTTTAGCCCAAAAAGTGATTAACCAAATAACACATTAAAATTCAAGCCCAATAAAAATTAAAATATTTAATTATTTATTATGCGGGAGTAGTCAAATATATAATATAGATATCAAATAAGCTACATTAAGTCACAAAATATAGATCTTAAAATAAATTTGTTTGTCAAACTAAATTTTATATTCGAATATCTGATTTTCTCAGATCAGATACATATAATTATTTTACATATCCAAAAAATTTTAATATCTGAATTTTCAGATCAAATCCGATATTCGAATTTATACACTCCTTATTATATTCAGTTAATTGAATTGATTATTTATTTAATCTATTGTTTATTATTGATTTAGTGCTACTAGCACCACTCCCGATGTCTCAATGTCTTGGTCTTTACAACAACTGTTAGCATAGGACTTTATCTCATTAGTAAAAACAATAAAATTAATTAAAATTACAATACACTTAAACATAGAGAAAAAGAGAACATTGTTGCAAAAAAATCCAAACCTGAACAAAAAATATTAAACGCAAAAATACGAAGAAAAATGAAACTTTTCCATGAGAATAACGTCTAATGTAAAAAAATCCAATAATCTTTATAATTTTTTGTCTCCGTCAAATGAGACACTTTATAAAATAATAAAAGAGTGATGAGTGAACTAAATAATTTAGATGAATGTTTTGCTACATAATTATTATTATATCAGTAAATAATTTTTTACCAAAGAGGGAATCTGACAATAGATGATCACCTACAATCCAATCAAAAAACAAATGTAGTGAGTTATGCAAGCACTAACATGACCGCAAAGCGTAAAGATATATGAAAAACGTACCAAAAGTCGTAATAAGAGAAAAAAAAGTATCACTAGATTAGAGCAAAGAATATCACAAATACATAAATTCTTATTTAAAATTAAAAACTTTCAAGAAAAATAGAGAACATATTATTAAAAAAATAATAACTGACGGTTGATAATTAATTTTTAGATTAATATCATCATCGACTAAATAAAAAATAAAAGAAATAAAAAATATTCAGAAAAATTTAGGTTAGAGAGAGAAAGAAAAAAAAAGAGAAATGGATACGGTTTTAGATTTAGGTCATTACGAAATTTTTTTTCTTGATCTTAGTAATATCAGAAAATTAAAATTAATTATTATTTTTTGGTGTCGGGAAAAAAGTAAGAATGGAACATGTCAGGTCCATGTGATGTTTCTAAATAAGACAAAACGTTTCCCATGTATATTAGATCACTTGCAAATCACTCTCAAACTTTGTAAATTGGTTGCTTTTTAGTTTTCATCTTAAATTAACATAAGGTAAAGTATCATTGAATTATATAAAAATATTTTTATTAAAATTGTAAAATTATTATTATATTTATTGAATCATTTTAATAATTAATGATTTATTTTATGTTTTTAAAAATTTATTAATTAAAATGGTCATTTTAGTATTATTTAGTGACCCTTTGGTGCATTTTACTAGAACAATTAAGGAAGAAAAAAGCATTACGATGACATGGCACAGCCAAGAAAACACTTTGCGAACTGATAAGAAAGAGTCATGTGATAATTTTTTAAAATATCATAAATAAAAATACTTTGAACCGTCTTTTATTTCATTTTTATTTTTTATCCGTGCGTAGCAATTCGTTATATTTCTATTTATATATTATTAGTTAATTTAGTTAGATTATTTATTTTTAATTCTATTAATTTAATCGATCATTTCAGTTCAAATTAAATGTAGATATTATTTTTTTTTCGAATTAGTAAACTCTTATCTAGCATTATTAACGAAACTTCTCCTTATGTTTCTCTTCACCGTAAACATTTATTAAAATAATCAATATTAGTGTTTGTTGTTTTAAAGATTTACGCGTGGAGATTTAATTACCAACGTGGGAGGATTATCAATATGATTTTACCATTAATGACATTTAATTACTATGTTTAACACAATTAAATAAATTCTCACTAATCCTTTTCTATAATGAGAAAGGAACTGGAAAATGAAAAGAAAAATAGGGGTACAGTCATGTTTCCTCCTACGTATTATTTAATATTTGTTACTTTTTACCCAACACCAAAGCGTGAATTCTTACTAACCCTATTGACTTCAGGAGTAAAGTACTTGAGATAAATGGTTTTATTTATTTATTTTATCAAATCTTATTTTAATCGGGTTGGTTTTATAAAATAATAAATGAATAATTCGATTAAATAATTGAACTAGTATAAAATTAAAATAATCAATTTATTATTTATTTATTAAAAGAATACGAATTTATATTAATCACAAATAACGTCTTGGAGTATATTATCGAAAATTGATTACGATAACCCGTAAGTAAAGGTAATTAAGTAAGGGTTTAAATCTTAAACATCCCTCATCGATCGAACTCCTTTTCCGTCTTAATAAAAAAGAAATAAAATTGAATAAGGATCATATAAGGCCCAATATTTCTCACCCGAAAAGTGGCCCAACTTCAAATGGGTATCGGGTATAATTCAGTTTGCCATTTACAAAAATTTCTATTGGGCCTCTGTTCTGTTTTATCTTTCATGGTTCTGGGCTAAATTGAACAATACATTACTAATCAAGGATTTTGGGGCATATTTTTTCATTTTGACGGATATATTTTCATTGTTATTAGAATCGGATCGAACTGGTCGGTTAAATTAAAAATGGTAGACTACACGTCTAGTATCTAAATTATCGTTGTTGACGTGTTTAGTTTAAGTTTCATTTTGGTACGCTGTCATTAAAAGGTTAACGGTGATATTGACGTGTCACTGCAAGGTAATACCACATCATCATTAAAAATATATAAAAAATGTTAT